TGACGACTACATATGTTGCATTTATAGTAGAATGTACCCATACTCCACCAATAATGTATAGTGTAGATTAAGTTACGAATAGGTCTTCTCTCTGACTCGGACTTGACATAATAATTGACAGTGACCGCATCACTATGTAGAAGTTGATAGCATTGCGACAAAATGGTTGCAGGACGCGGCGTCACGTGACTTAAGGAGGTACACACCTAAATCTTAATTCTTTTAGTCGGACTCGCTCGAGGCCCAATGCAAATCGATACATGCCAGTGTGCACGATTTACCACAATTTTCAAATAGACGCTCATCGGACCTCCCTTCGCAAGAGAGTGGAGCATTTTTGCTCAATATGCACACCGTATCCGCTTCTTGACCTTCAATCCCTTTGAGTCAGATGTCATAGATGATCAAGCTGTGCAAACGCTCAATCACCCACACTGTTGCCGAACCTTTGTATTTTGCATTGGCTCGATGACCAAGAATGCTTCATTCTATTATTGCGCTGCCTCCTTGTGCCTACTATCAGGTCGATGGAGCTGGGCTCTAGTATTTCAGCAACCTCCTGGGTACTCTTCATCGCCAAATCAGCCTTGTTAGCTTCCTTCGGAGCTCGGTGTCCATCCGTTCAGAATTTCGAGTGCGTACACCAATGTGATTCTAAAGACAGTCCAGATGTAATATCCGACGCCGTACGTAGTTTGCGGGAACTCTTCCATCTCGAGACAGGAACACACAAGCGCTCCTTCACTTGGCTTCCGAGTCTTTGCCGTCGTTGAAGTCTCTGTACTTCAGGACAAACAATATTGACAACACACAAATCAATGCCATCCAACATCTATCTCCGAAAACAATCTAGTACATATCACTTTCGGGGCTACCTTATGATTTACCGGTTGTTCCAGAACTCATTATCCCATTCTCGGAGTACTTCTCTTTTGCTCTCGAACACCTCAGTGTTAGCTTCGACTCCGCGCTCTTCTCCCCGGAAAACGAAGAGATACCTGCTGATCCCCGTTTTACACTTGTCTTTGATGTGGTTGCAACTTGCCCCGCTGTTGTCCTCGAGTCGCTTGACAAAGGTAGACCTCGATTAGATCTGCGCTCCGGCCATCGACGATGCGTCACTCAAGAGAATGGCGCAATCCTGGCCTCTGCTCTACTTTGGAAGTGGGTGTCGTTGCCCGGTCCCACCATCTCTCACCTTCACAGGATTCATACACCTCATACAACATTGCCGGGGCTTGTGCGCCATTGACATGAGCTTCTGCGCATGCTCGGTAGACACCAATAGCGAGCCGTTCTGTGAAACCATTCCCAACGATAATGTCACCAGATTTTTAGGGGATATCTCCGATTGACGATCCCATCGCCGTGGCCTGTCAATTGGATACGGTGGTGCCCAAGTTGAACGGCGTGGACTGCTTCGAACGGCTCATGGACGTGCGCCCCGCACCATAATTTCAATGAGGGTTGGGCTGTTGAGGAGTTCCTGATGATGCTCAGTACAGGCTCAGAAATGAGAGCGTGTGGGCCAAGCAACCCATGAGTGCTATTTGCCGCCCTTATGCACCCTAGTGTTTCAATTGGGAGGTGCCATGTATACAAGATGGAACTACGTTGTCTACGCTGGTACCCAACGTCTACTGAGCTCATCTTCAATCATTTTATGCAGAACCTTCTTACTACTTTCTTCACCTAGATTGTCTATCCGCGCCATCACAAACGCACTTGTTTCTTCTTGATAAAATGTTAATACCACACATATTTATACCTAGTGTACAACGAGATAAGCCCTCCTTTATATTTGCCAATTTTTATCCCATAATCTTGGCTCAAGTGTGTGGAGCACTCTCAGATAACACGAACGCATCAAGGCTCCTGCCTTTCCATTCACGCCCAAGGCTTTAGTATTTACCCATTGCTTGGAGCGAGCATTCTCTTAGCGGAGAAGGCTAAGCTGCCAGCAAAAACGAGCACTCGACACGACGATGAGCCGCCCAGTGAGTGAGAAAGCTTGCGGATATACGGGCTCGTGGGGTTAGACACTCCTCGTGATAACTTCTCCGAAACCAATGAGGTCCAGACTAAGTCGGAGACACATCTTTGTTTTTTAAAAAGCTCATCCAACTTCAACAAAGGATCCCGAAAGCGCACCTTCAATCACCGGACAAGGACAAGGGCTGCAAAAATGATGGGCGAGTGGAGTTTAGTGCGGTGGAGGGCGCATGCTTGACTTGGGAGTTCAGATGGCATGGATTCTGGACAAGCAAGGGTATGAGTAATAAACAATCCGAGTTGTACTACGGTTGAAGTGGCGACTTTCGTGTAGAAAAATCATCGTTGTCGTACGTTCACGTTGCCGTTGGCGAGCGCCAGAAAGTTGCCCTGTTCTGAAGTTCGTGACCAAGAGGTTTTTCCGCGGCTGTTTCTACTACTCGGGTAAGTCAGAGGCAAATTTGCAACTGACGAGGTTTTCGAAGTCTTGTCATTACGTTCTTACGTTCCGCTGCACGTACTTAGTACCTTGTCAGTATCTGGAAGCCGAAGTGCTTCAGAAGGGTGACAGGGCACTCATCACTCCCAGTGAACACGAGAGCGTGTGAGAGCGTGCGAGAGTATTACGCAAAGTGCCAGATCATGTAGATCTCAAATGATGTCGATGAGTACTCACTTGGTAACAGGGCACCTATGTCACCCACTCAAAAGCAGCAACTCTCCCTAGGTTGCAATTTTGATGCATATGTGCTTAGATTAAATTTTTGAGGGGCGTGAATCTAAATTTCAGCCTGATTATGTGGTCGTTCACTGCGTACCGTCGAAGAATCAAAAGCGAAGCAGCAGTATGCAGCTTTATCATCAAGGTGCTTTGACAATACTGATAGAAGATCTTTTGGGAGTTTTTCTGGACCCAGACTATATGTGCCCATCTCAGATGCCGAAAGTGAAGCAGACTTTAATGGAGCATTGGCATTATGATTCAATTTCATACAGCGATATTAGTTGAGGCCCATCAGATAGATGAGTCATGAGAGTAATATCAACCAGTGCACTGACATACATTGAAACTGGTACCAGGATGTTTTTTGGGGGGCATGAAGCCAGCGAAACTACCCAAACGCTCTATATATACAAATCACATTGTCAGTGCGATCTTACATTGACTCGGAGTTTGGGCGTTCTCGTCGAGTAATCGTGGATGTTGCATATCCAAATAGGAAACTCCGACAAGCTCTTCACTCTGACAGATGAGTCAGACTTCAATGTTAACTTCAACTTCAACTTGAAACCCTCACCCGGTGGCACCGTCTTACCATTCGCAATGAAAAGACCCCCAGGCCCTACTCAATATGTTCCCTTCAGCTTAATACTGCAGCCGCATCACTGAGCGGTATATGTATAATTGTATCTCTGCACTTGCACGCTTGCTCCTCCTGTCATCTTGTTTCCTTCATTAACGTCTGTCTTTCATTACTATCTTTCATCAATTTCATTGATACTTCGTATTATCACTCTCGTTGCTGACCGTAGCTGAAGCGCTGACGTAGGTAACCCTTCGATGGCCTAACAATTCCGACTTCGTTTTGGTTCCATTCCATGAGGTGAACATACGTAAATTCGGCAGCTGCAGCGAGTAGAAGTTTTACATTTACGTGGAAACCGGCGTGCCGATAAATTTTCTCGTCAAATTGAAGTCGAAGCACTGACATTGCTTCTGGTGCGGTTGATGGTTAACATAGCGAATTCCGTCACTCTACACGCAGCAACAAATATAAGTTGAACGCAAGTCGCATCCCAAAATCCTCAGGACAAACGCCTTAAAATTTTGGGTGAGCGATCTTACATGTGGGCAATGTCGCGGCTGTATCGGTTTAACTCAATCGACGTCATGCAGCTTTTTCTGGACTTGATTGAAGTTCAAGTCGCTATACCCCCTTCGTGTACTCAACCGCGCATTCAATTTTTGTCGGTGTGTGGTGTCCCCGCACTGATGGCCATCACTAACTCGCATAGCTATACTAGACACCATGAAGCCTATTCAGTTTGCTATCCTTGCCATTCTCGCCGCTGTCACTGTGGTGAAGGCTTCTACCGTTGAAACCTGTGTAACTGTATGCGATATTGGGAAACCCGAGTGCGAGGATCCCACCGAAAGTAGCTCAGGCTGCTGGACCTGTTGTTACACGCCTTCTGAACCCTAGACATCGATCTTGTACAGATAATGTATTGCGTCTAGTCGCCTATAGTTCTGAAGAGCGACAATTTCAGATGACTCTCAGGCTAGTCTGACTGACGATCGGAAGATCTCCATGTATTTGATGCATCCAGATATTGCAGGGCATCGGTAGTCAACTTCGCTTGAAAACATAGGCTGGTCTTGAGCACTTGGTTATTAATTGTAACACTGTAGTCAGCAATAGCAGACTGTCTAGACCAGTGACACATATTCACAGTTTCAACTTTCCGATTCCAAACGGAAAAGGAGTAGGGTATGTGCCTGGAATGAGATCAGGATTGCTAGATTCATTGACTGGATGAAGTCTGATGTCGGAACACGAAGTCAGACAACGAGTTAACTTGTGTTCACATGCAAAAGTTGACTTTAGAGAGAGAATAGACTCAGTATTAATATTTGAATTATGTAAATCGACTCATGATTCGATTTGACTTCGTATTCACTACGGTAATTTAGTAGTCGTACAGGGTGTTCTCGCGCCAGCCCCCTGCAGTCCAAAGATGATCTAACTTGGTTGTTTCTGGTCTTGTCAAATTGAAACAGAAGCACTGCTTCAGGCTCAGGCAATGGTTGGCTGACGTGGTGAATTTCATGAATTCCATCATTCAGTCCTAACAGCCAGCAATATAAATTGCCCGCCGTCAAGTCTTGAAATTCTCAAGACTCTGACAAAATGCTTTGTTGACGGGAGGTGGCACCCGTAGGTAACGTCGTGTCCATTTCACCCAATGGCATATCATCGTAGGCCCCCTGTGTACAATCGCCCATTTCACTGCATGCCCAAGGAGTCCATGAAATTCGACAGATCAAGTCCCTCATATTTATCTTCTGCGGGAATGTCTTCGAAGATACAAAAAAAGAATAAATACAGAACTAACCCCATGATCTTCTCTTCCAGCGTGCCCTTCGTAATCAAGCGATATACATTAACGACCTTCTTTTGTCCAATCCGGTGAGCTCTGTCCATGGCCTGAAGATCCTTCATAGGATTCCAATCATGCTCCACAAATATCACAGTATCCGCCCCAGTAAGGGTAAGACCAAGCCCACCAACGTGCGTTGTCAATAAGAGGCAGTCAATACTGGGATCCGAATTGAATGTTTGAACAATAGCATGACGCTTGTTGGGGTCGGTTCCGCCATCGAGTCGCATGTATGTGACGGAAGGCATGTATTGCTTGAAGAGATCATTTTCGATGATGTCCAACATTTGCTTCATCTGACAGAAGATTAGAGCACGATGTTGGGAGAATGCACTGCTCGACTCGGACAAGCTCTCCGCAGGATCGATCTTCCCACTTTCACCAGTAACCGAAGGACTGCCTCCAATACCGCAATCTGTGAGTAGTTGCCTGTCCCGCATTTGAGTATTGCAACCACACACATAGAGAAAGACAATACCGTAGAGCAAGTAATTTCGGTGCGTACTGAATACTGTAGTAATTGGAAACCATGCTGTCGTGGAGCATCCTTGGCAGCTTCTTGGATCGCATCCTCCACATCCGTCTTGGCCTGTGAGCTGGAGAAGTCGTCGTACAGTGTTTTTTGCACCTCTGACAGCTCACAGTAGTAATCCTGAATGATCTTCGGGGTAGGTCATTCAAGACATCCTCTTTCAGCCGGCGTAATAAGACGGGCAGGACTTGCTTATGCAGAGCCTCAAGAGCAAGAGCAGCTGCAGAGAATTTGGTTAACCGCGGACTAGTTCTCAGGACGCGTCACTTACCAGCTTCATCAGTCTTCACCTTTCCGTCACAATTTGACAGGATTGGCTTCTGAATCGCTCGTTGAATAGCTGATCGGTCCTAAGGAAGTCGGGCATCAAGAAGTTGAAAAGACTCAAAAGCTCCAGCGCGACATTCTGGATTGGAGTGCTTGAAAGAATGAGACGATGGTGCGCATGTATAGTCCCTGCAGCTTTTGTGAGTTGTAGTGTACTGTGAAAGTGGCGGTGTGAATTCACCCTGGCTAATTCACCCGGGTGAATTAGAGTGAATTAGTGGTTCTCAAAGTTGATTTCATAGAATCTGGAAACGTCAAAAGTTTGCGAGTTGCCGGTTGTATTTGAAGCTCCGACGCTGACAAATAAACCCTAAGCTTTGTACCATCTGCTATAGCATTCTGCAGCTCCATCACTGATATGCCCCGTGAATCAGATCGAAAGATGCTGCTTCGCAGCCTCAAACAAACCAGAAATGACCTTTCCGTCGCGCGATACATGGAACTAATTGAATTTATGATAGATCAAATACTGGATGAAGACTCAGACTCTGATACAGAGCTTGATGATGCTGCCAGTGGCCGTAGCGACTCGGATATCAGTATACGGACTGCATCACCAACATGGCCGGAGTCGCCTACATCGTCAATCACATCTGCCTCATCAATCAACTCTCTGGTATCGCTCTTGACAGCATACTCCGACTTCTTATTGCACGATATCCCGGACATGTGTGAACGGGTCTTTACCCAGTTCATTGACGCAATCGGTGCGCTGCATGATGAGGTGGAGAAGTGTCGAGTGCTGAATGTGCATCCATGTCTGAATCGCGCACCTCAGCTTCACTTGCTGGAGGAGTGGGCTCTGTTCTCAGCTGATAAATTTCGCCGCAAGCTTCGTGTTGAGGCAGACGTGTTCGATGGACCCACAAAGTTAATTCAAGAACACCCCATCTTCTATAACTGCTCAAATAACCCCCAACTCCCTGTTGCGGTCCAGCTCGCCATTTTTCTAAACAGTGTCGGCCATTATGGCAATGCCGCGACTACTGAAGATATATCCGACTGGGCTGGAGTATCCTTGGGGACCGTTTATAACTGCTACAAACGGGTTATGATTGCGATCTTGCAGCTTCATGACCGGGCGATTCATTTCGATCTGCTTGATCACGAGGATCAAATGGAGCGAGAGCGGGCGAAAGCTTACGTGGAAAGCAAGACATGTCGTGAATGGCATGGAGGTTTTCTTTGTGTAGATGGGACTCCGTCCCCTCTACACGAGAAACCTGGTTGGCATGGTGAAGGGTTCTTTGACAAGAATTCGGACTACTCTCTAACAGCCCAGGTAAGTATCGGTTCGGTGTGCAACACAGTGACTTACAGTTTAAAAGGTTGTTATATTCCCTCATAACCTTCGTATCGTGGACTATGTCATTGGCGTACCTGGGAGTCTCCATGACTCAAACGTATTCGCATGAATGAGAGTTTCCCGGCATCCTGAGTTGTTTTTTGGTGCAGGAGAGTGGTTGTGGGTGGACTTGGCATATGCTGCACGAACCTGGTGTGTGCCACCATATAAACGGCCACCGGGAGGGAGTTTGACGGAGGACCAAAAGACGTTCAATCGCAACCTGTCAACGGTGAGTATGAATCACAATACATGTTCATAGTGCTTACCAAGTGTCTAGGTCCGTGTTCGTTCAGAGCATTTTTTTGGCTCTATCAAGGGCTGGTTCCAATCACTGCGGGAGCTTCGCATCCCAATCCAAAATCAGAAGGACCTTGACTACGCAAACATGTGGATCTGTTCGTGCCTCATTCTGCACAATTTAATTATTGAAAACGAGGAAAAATTAAACCATGGGGACTCGAATGTCCGCTTCTACCAACAACCTCGGAGGCCAAGGCAAACTGATGGCGATGTGGGAGAGGAGGATCAACAAGAGGGTGGTGCAATAGGTGATCAGACTTACATTGGAAGTGTGGGGCAGGATTTTCGCAACACGTTGAAGACACGGTTGCTTTCCTCATTGGCGTAATTAGAATGTACATATCTTGAGTCCAGTGATACGGTTTGTTTCAATCTTGGGTTTCTTTGCTACTCTCTTTGTCAAGTAGAAGCTCTTCATCCTCTTTAGTACCCAACGAGGGAAATTTGCGCTTAAGTTCAGCGTCAAGTAGAAGCTCTTCATCCTCTTTAGTACCCAACGAGGGAAATTTGCAGAGAAAGGACCATTTGCATTGCTTAACAATCAGTTGTATGACATAGTACGGACCTAGTACTTCAGTTTTGATCAAGACCACGCTCCATAGTAATACGACGAATCCGGGCCTCCTCCTCTTCTCGACGTGCATGAGATAGCTCAAGTTCAATTCTTGCAAACTCCATTTGCTGAACTATCCTCTCCCGTTGGTGGAGGTGGTCTTGTTCAGCAAGACGCATTGCATGCTCCCGCTCATCACGAGCACTGCGGGCCTTGAGATCACGAGCCCAGACTTCGCTCTCGAGTTTCATACGCTTATAGCGTTCATGCTCGACATGACCCTCGCGTTTGCCATCGAGGTGTACCATTAAAGACTCTGCCGTTTGGGACATCCTTTCTGCGGTCTGGTCAAGAGCATTGGTGCCAGGGCGTTTGCGTGATGAAGAGGGAGGACGGCTAAGCTGAGATGATGTGCTTTGAGAAGATGGACGGGGCTGCTTTGCAGCGAGAGAAGGTGAGCTTTCGCGACTTCCCTTAAGTGAGCTGACATGGAGAGACCGTAGTGCTCGGCTGGCACCAATGTCCGAGTCTTCTGAGTCAATAGGTGTAGACTGACGGCTCGGTGAAGACTCCTTGAAATCCGAAAAAAAGACAGTGAATTATCAACGGCGTTTTTATTGGATGCTGGTGAGCACTCAGGAGAGTTCAATGATACTACTCCTGGGCCAAGCGCATCAGAAGTTGAGATGGGAGGGAGCTGTGGTCGTTGGTACCATGATGGTAATGGAATTAGCGAGAATGAATCAGGTGTGTTGCTAGGACCACAGTCTGAAGTTAAAAGTGGTGATGATTCAACTGATTACATGCGGGGGGGGCTGGTCAACCACCATATCATCTGTCACATCTACAACACCACCATCATCCGTAGTGCGAGGATTGATCTCAACTATTTCTCCGTCTTCAGGGTCTGTGTGAGTGTCGTCGTCACCTGTAGCCGGTTTTAGTTGCATCGATTGAATATCAAAGTGTTCCAATGCAGCAGATGCAAAGTCCTGCCCTACATCCGCAGTAGAGAAGGCATAGTTGAAGGCTGGGTTGGTCCGCCACCAGCCATGAAGCTCAGGCCACCAGGGAAATTTTTCGAGCTTTGTATCTGATGGAAACACGGTTAAGACATGTGCAGATCAACACAGCTAAAACGGACCGATCAACGACTTCATCTTTGGATCCTCTTGGAGCTCTGCATACGTCTTTCCTGCTCCTGACTGCTTGAGGTCCTTGTTGAACTCGTTGTATTTTCTTCGAAGTCTGAAACATCTTATCAGTGATTCCAGTGGGAAGATGAATGACGCAGGAACTAGATACTTACGTGCCGAAACGAGTTGAAACTGGTTTGATAAAGGCCTTAGGGTCCTCTTTGAAGAGTCGTTGAACCTCCAGATCCTCATCATTCGAAAATACTGCGTGTGCGACCTGTGAATAGACAACATCTCTCGAACTACCACTCTGCTTCTTCTTCTGACCTTGCTCCTTGGCATCCTTTGCCGAATCAGAGAAAAGCTTGATTCGTGCATTGTCATTTTCCTTGCACCAGGCAAGTAGCCGTTCAGTACGAGCACCACGGACCCCCTCCCAGTGAATGGTACACTTCTTCCCAGTGTCCGTACTGGCAGGTGCGTTGGCCCGGACACCTCCACCCCGGCCTCTCTGATTTGAGCGTGACATGATCTAGGGTGTGCTTAATGACAGTGATCAGATATTGGATTAAGGCTTTAGCAGTGTCAACACCGGTAACGACGATGTTGAGCACACTGGCTGGCAGGGCAGGTCGGAGTTCGAAACCTGCCGTACCGGCAGCATCCGAATTCGCAAAATTTCTCTGTGAATTTCTTAGAAGGTTCGACTTTGAGAACCATTATTGGCATGTGAATTTCGGCGGCGTACTTTGGGGGTGTGAATTTGGGTGAATTTGAGGACATAAGTGGGAATCAATGTAGTTTTCTAAACTCGCTAAAGCGCTCGGTAAAGAACCGGTTAAGCATTCTAGCACAGCCAACAACGATGGAGTCGGCCGGCATCAAGTATCAGAGCTTGAATACCAATGCCTGCTGTCCGCCAACGTGTCCGCCATTCTGCAAGGCTTCAAGCAGACGCTCGAAGTCGCCCAAAGGCGATGGAGTTACCCCCCCCATCCATCCACATCCCGTGGAAGAGGGAAGGCTCGAGGACATGGGTCCAATCCCACTCATAATCAGGCTCCTAGGCCTGCCGGACCGAAGATAATTGTCCATTGGACCAAACCTTCAGATCTCCACCACACAGACACTCTGGTGCGGCATCTTTCCACTAATTCTGCAGATGCTCGCGTACTATTCTACGAGGGGAAAAAAACCACTGCTTCTAACAATGATGAGCGTCCTTCTGGAAAGGACAAAGGGGAAATCCATCGGTTCTTGGCGAAACTGATCTTTGAGAAGGACTCGGATTATTCAGCGGCATATGCTGAGGACCCAAAGAAATTTGACGTCGTGGTGGGCAACCGCATTGTATCGTAAGTGGTTTCTATCACTCAGATGACTGTAGCTACTTATTTAATTCTACAAAGTCTTAAGAAGTTGTTCAAGGAGCAACTCAACAAATTCAACAAGACCGGTGCTGGTGTCACCCCCCTTGACGAAAACGCAGCAGCTAATCTACACAGTAAGTGTTTGTTTTTCACCGTTGTTTCTTATTTTATTTTATCTTATTTTAAGAACAAGTACTGCTCGAGTTCCCGTGGTACGACCAACTCCACCCCATCCTGTTTTCTAACCCGACGTGTGGCGCCAAAATTTTCACCTCCCAGCCGGGAGTCGACCATGCCAGGGACTTCTATGCACTTATTCATCCACGTGGGGGGGCTGGTCCCTCCACGAACACAGAGCCTCCTGGCCCTCGACTCCTTCAACCGGACCCTCGACTCCTTCAACCGGACCCTCGACTCCTTCAACCGGACCCTCGACTCCTTCAACCGGACCCTCGACTCCTTCAACCGGACCCTCGACTCCTTCAACTGGACCCTCGACTCCTTCAACCGGACCCTCGACTCCTTCAACCGACCCCTCACCTCCTTCCCCCAAACCCTCGGCTCCCTCCCCCAAACCCTCAGCCCCCTCTCCAAGACTCTCGGCTCCCTCTGCCAAACCAACTTGACACTGGCGCTCAGCGCAGTCCCCCAGCTTACCTTCCCCCTTCACATCACCCCCCTCCTCATTTCACTGGCGCCGGGGGCAGTCCAGTTGATGACCCAGATGGTGACCTCTATGATGACCCTTACGCCGATGACAATGGCCCTCTCTCTGCTCCCCTTGGGAACGCTGTCTTAATAACCGAGGGTCTTATATGAAAACGTGTAAGAA